AGGGAGAAAAGGAGGAAGAGAAAGAGGACAGAAGCTCCAGCAGCTAAAAGCTTGGTGAACTCTTCTTGAACCGGGAGCAGGTCTCAGGGCCCATAAATCACTGACTCAACACCCAGTAAACACAAAGCCACGACAAACCCTGTTTGTTTGGGCTCGTGAGGTCCGGCCCGGCCTGCTTACCTTACCCTTAGCACCGGTGATCCCGGTCCAGTCCGGCACGGACCCAGCAGCGGCGCATCATTCCTCCCACGGGCCTCAGCAGGCGATCAATAATAAGAATAATAGTTGTTGAATAAATAAACACATAAATAAAAGCAGACGTGTTTCTCTGCAGCTGCCTCCTTCACTCTTCGCAGACCCGCCGGCGTCCGGGAACTACAGCGCGGCCGGTCCCGACCAACCAGAACCTCCTGCTGGAGCCCCAGCTGCGGCAGCGGCGCACCGGGATGCTCGGACCGGACTCCCTGCGGCATGAACGGCTGACGGCGGGAGGAGCAGCTCGGGGCGCGCGCTGATGGGGAGGCGGGGGGGTGGTAAGGGTTCTGCAGAAATAAAGCTCGGTGTGAGGAAGAAAAAAAATAAAAAGAAAGGGAGAAACAGGCAGGGGGGCTAGCTTTAGCGCAGAAACTGAAGCAGCTTCACCGGGATCCTGGCTCCCCCCCTGCCCCCCCTCCACCAGAGCCTCCGCCGCCGCTGCTGCTGGATAACAATGGCCTCCGCTTTCTCCCGGTTCTCAGCCTGTGCCGCTCACAGCTCTGACCCAGCCGAGCGAACAGAACCGGCTCCGCCGCAGAACGTTACCCCATCGCATCCTCAGCGAACAAAAGCGGCGAAAAGAAGGCGGATGGTGACTGTCTCCCTCCTCCCCCGCCACCTCCGCCTCTCCTCCCGGTTCTCCTTCAGCGGCTCTCCCGTCTCCTCTGCGGCCGTCCTCCGTCGGCTTCCTCTCGGCCAGGAGAGGCGGTGGTTGTGGGGGTTAGCGGTGGTGGAGGGGGCTGTCGCACATCAGGTTCTTCTTCTTTTCTTTTTTCCCTCTCCTACAGACTCGTGCTGTATCGGCGCGCGGGTGTCAACAAGGCTCAGGCTGTTCCATGACTGCCTTATCAAAGGGATCAGCGTCATTCACAAATTATGCAAATATGGCGGCTGGAGGTGAAGCTGCTCCTCCAGCAGGACCCAGGCTTCCCCACATCACCTTTAGGTACAACCTGTCAGTTCTGAGCTGATTTACAGTTTACACAACAATAAAACAGATCTCAGCCTGCARTCTAATGATTTTAACAGGCCACACGAACGCTTTATGCTACAAAATGTTTTATGCACCAAACATGAACTTGTATCTGTCTGCTGATGTGTAACATCAACAAATAAAATGTCTGCATGGACAAAAAGTGTTTTCTTAATGAAACGGATCACTGGTTTAAACTTTATAATAAGAAATAAACTTAAATGGACCTTTTAAAACTTTTTTTTATTGTTCCTGTTGTTTTACAGGTGAATGTGTAATAAACAGTCTTAAACAGATTGGTCATATAGTGTTTAGATAAATAAAGATTACTAAAGGACAAATCAAAGGTAGTTTCAGAMCTATTAAACAATTTTCGCCTTTAGACACGTGGCTGCTTCTGATTGGTCGATTGGTTCCATCGGAACGCTGGGAACAAAGTTAACATAAAAATAACTATTTTTTGGTACTATAACTAATAAAATAGGAAAAAAGTGAAAACATTTAAACCTAAATGTTTGAGTAAAACAAAACCTACGAGTTGTGAAAAATGTTTTTAAAAATCTGTTTGCATCAAGTGGTGACTGTTTCACAACCACAAGTC